GAGCTGCATATTTGACCAATTTACAGCATATTGTATGTTGCTTTTGATGTAATATTTTCCATTACTAAACCATATTCAATATGCTTTTTTTCTATCTACCTTTATATTTCACATTTTGCATTCTTTTTGTGTATACAGGTATGTTTATTGTGATCTTGGGAGCAATTTGACAAGTCAAATTCCATCTAAGTACAGTTTCCTGGCTTGTAAACTCAATTTGATATTTCTCTGTCTGTCTTTCCCATGGTGCTCTCTATTCTTCTATTTTCCCCTATTGTCGCCACCTTGTAATAATTTCACCACTGCTATTAAGTGTTTGGTTATCTGCACTGACTGTGTATGGTTTAACTCATTCACTGCCAAAGCTACAGCTGGTATATTTCTAAAGAAAATAAAAAATTTGTTTTTTTTCTGCTCCACTAGCAGGACAAATCAGAATCAGGAAAGTAATTATTCTTTCCAAACAGGTTTTCCAAATGCTCTTATTGTCCACATCTGGCATTTCTAAGCGGCCGTTAACACAGAATGTGTTTTTTTTTTTCATTCTTCTCCCATGGTATTCGTAAGATGGACATGTTTAACTGCTGCTCTCTAGTCTTTTGCAGCATCTTGCACATAAAGCAGCATTCTAAAAATGCTTTATTTTTTCCACTACCCTGCTTCTTGCATTTTAAAAAGCAAAAATATGTTCTGTGTGAATGGCCCCTAAGCCGTCTGGCCTAACCCCCAACTCGCGCCATTGGTTGAGCCAAATGTTGACATGCTAGGCTGTTCAAACAAACAAAATAATGTTCAGAAGTGCTGGAAAATAGACAAGGGGCCAAGGTTTGGTTAGTTAGCATTGTCCAGTTATCTTCTGCTGGTTAACTCTGTAACTAAACCAATTGGTAGCAAAAAAGTGTAGTCTTCCATTCAAATTAGGCTGTCTGTTGTGACAAAATTGCAAGCAACTTATAAATTAGAAATGTTTCATCATAGTACAGTGGATGTTTTTACAAGCGATCGTTTTTAGTGGCTTCAAAAGGGATAGTTCATCCAAAAATGCCCGTTTGACTGCCTGTGGAACACTAAAGAAGATATTTTGTTTGTTTTTGTATGTCAGTGGGGTCTAATGAATTTCATACAGGTTTGGAATGACATGAGGATGAGTAAATGATAACCTAATTTTCATTTTGGATAAACTATCTATTTAAATGTGTAAAATTAGCTATGAATCTAGAACGTCTCGGTTACGTATGGTAACCCTCGTTCCCTGAAGGAGGGAACGGAGACGTCACGTCGGATGACCGACGAAATTGGGATCTCGCTTAGAGAGACCAATCTACTTTGAGTGTAAACTAAACGAGCCAATGCACATTGGCATGCGATTATTGCATCCAGCTGCCGCTGATCACAGCATGAGTATAAGTAGGCAGCAGATGCAGCACATATTCAGGTTTTCGCTGAGGAGCCGAGCCGGTGACCTGGCCGCTCAGGACGTCGAGAGTGACCGACTGAAAGGGAACATAACAAACTTCACCTTACACACTTAAATCCAGCCTGAAAGTGTTAGTTAAAGGCCTGGAATATCTTATATTTTAAATGTTGAAGCTGAAAGTGTGAAAACATCCCATGCTGAGATTTTTCCACTGTGGATTTATTTTGGACTGAGTGCGAGACTCTTTTTTCATTTTTCCTTCCCTCTTTTTTCCCCCTGGATGGAGCGGCTGGAATTAAAGACTCCGAGTTCAAAGGGATATTTTTTTTTACTTACTGGAGATAGATTAAAACGCTTATTCTTGACGTTTTCATGTGGTTTCTCTCTTTCTCTTTCCCTGTCTGTCCTCTCGCTGTCTCTCGCTCACCGTCTGACCTTGAACTCCATATGAACAACATCCAGTGCCCATTAAATATCTCGGGGCTTATCCTTTTCTCTATCTTCCTTGTCTTACCGCTTGTTTGCTTGTCTGATTCGCATTTCCTGCCCTAAAAGCTCTTCCATATTGAAGTCAGAGTATAGGCTATTTAGTTCCTAATGGTTCCTCCTCTTTCACCTTGAGACTGTGTATGCGTACATGCATTAGTGTGTGAAAGTATCCAGTAATCAAAATGAACCCACTCGTTGAAATGTCGACAAAAGAGCTCTATATATTTAAATGTGGACAGTCACCCATGACTGGACTTTATTGACATTACATGGTGGCTCATGCTTTAAAACACTGAGCTCCCCTATTTGAAGATTACTGTAGGCTTTGGCCAGCGTTTCGGAGGTCTGCCATTGCGTCAGGATTTGATGTGGAGAAACTGTGCGCTTACATAAACGAATAATGTCAAAGTCACGACGAATGTTTTTTTTCCCACTTCCATCATCTTTGTCATTATTTGAACTGTTACAACATCACTTCTATTTTCAGATGTCATTTAAATTATTGAGGTTGAGTTGAACTCTTTGAACTGTTGCCATCTGGTCGACGCTACAGAGCACTGAGCACCAGAACGACCAGACACAGGAACAGTTTCTTCCCTCAGGCAATCCATCTCATGAACACTTAACAATAACTGTGGAACACACACTATTTATACACTCATACACTTATTTATCTAACACTCATACTCAGTCTACACCTAAAATTTGCACATAATATACAGTACCTGTACATACAAAACTGTCTATTGTAATATACCTGCACATACAATTGTCGATTTATATATTTTTATTCTTTATTTACTTGTTCTATTTTTTATTTTTTATTATCTGTGTTTTTTGTTCTGTCACTGTCATTCTGTTACACTGTGGAAGCTTCTGTCACGAAAACAAATTCCTCATATGTGTAAACATACCTGGCAATAAAGCTCATTCTGATTCTGATTGAAGTAGTGCTGAAAGAGTCTGCTAACAGCAGCCCTACAGTGTGCGATCCCAACAGTGTCATTCCACCTGGAGTTTTCACTCCGTTTTATGGTTATATAATGGAAGTTATAACTTCACCATAAAAGTACTGTAAGCAGAGACTCCTGTACTGTGTAGTTAAAGGGGTAGTTCACTCAAAAATGAATTTTCTCATTTACTCACCCTCATGTCGTTCCAAACCCGAATGACTTCCGAATGTTCCTGGATGTTCTTCCATGGAACATAAAGAAATTTTGAAGATAGGAAAAGTGCTTGGTACTCTTTTCTATGTAATTTCAATGAAAGGGAATTTTCAAGCTTCTGAAAGCGCCATAAAAGTTTAATTAAAATAGTTCTTACAACTTTCACACTACTTAGACAACTAAATTACATATTACATAATGTCCTTCTTATATGAAAACAACAATAAATAAATGTTGATTTTATGTTATTAAGGCTGTAGAGCTGTATCACTTTAAAAATAACTGCATCCTGCTTGTTTATTGGTTTCAGATGCCTTTAAAAAAAATTATTTTTTTTTTTTTTGGTCTTCCAAACTAAAATGTGTATCATCATATTTTGCTATAGCTGTTGGGTACAACAATAAAACCATATAGTGTACATTCAGACAAGTTGTAATTTTTATTTACAATTTATATGTTTTGAGTCAAAATAATGGTCATTTTGTATTACCCTTTCAAATTTTGCAGTTTCATCGCATTTCATATTTGTTTTGCTGATAAGCCTTTAAATAGTCTACAGTATTTTACGTTTTAAATACATGGAATATATTTTTTGTGGAATATATTTTTGCAAACCTGTGTCAAAGTTCTCATTGTGGCAGCTCACTCCTTATAGTGTGACAACATGCCTTGCTTAAGTTTTATGTATATTTTTTTTATATTATTTGAATTAAAGTTGATATGTAACCCTGGACCACAAAACTTCTTAAGCGTCTTAAGTCGTTGGGGTATATTTGTAGGAATAGCCAAAAATACATTGTATGGGTCAAAATTATTGATTTTTCTTTTATGCCAAAAATCAATAGGATATTAAGTAAAGATCATGTTCCATGTAGATATTTTGTAAATTTCCTACGGTAAATATATTCAAACTTAATTTTTGATTAGTACTATGCATTGCTAAGAACTTAATTTGGACAACTTTAAAGGCGATTTTCTCAATATTTAGATTTTTTTGCACCCTCAGATTCCAGTTTTTCAAATAGTTGTATCTCGGCCAAATATTGTCCTATCCTAGCAAACCATACATCAATGGAAAGCTTATTTATTCAGCTTTATTCAGATGATGTAAATAAATCTCATAGATATAAATCTCAATTTTGACCCTTATGACTGATTTTGTGGTCCAGGGTCACATATGTGTAAGCAGCTGTCTGTATTTGTTCTTCTGTTTCCCTGTGCTTTACTTTTAGAAAAGGCCTTTCAGTAACGGTCTGTTTCTCTGGGGAGTGCTGACAGACAGGATTGTAATTTTTTTCGGGCTTTCTGCAGGTTCTCTGGGTGTGGCACATCTAGTTGTGGCGGTGACACTTCTGTTGTGGTGACTAAAGTGTGGAGCTCTTAGTGCTTTTAAAAACTTGCCTCATATAAAGGTGTGATTGTGTCATGTGTGTGTGAAAATTTGAAAGTGCTATTGACGTTCGTCACAAGAGCACTATTGAACACAGACCATAGAGGAACATGAAAGCCCACTCTCCCTTCTTTCCTTATTCATTTTGTTGTTTTTTTCTTTAGCGAGTTATTTTTCCTGCCCTCGAGAGAGATAAAAATATTGGTTCAAAAAGTGGCAAAAGCCTCACATAATGTAAGTGGATGTGTGCGCGTGTTTGTGCGTGTTCATATTTCATTGTGTCCAGTGATGTATTGATTTGTGAACGTGTGCTGAAAGGAGTAATTATCACGTTGCCCTCTCACCGATGAGACCATCCAGAACTAAAATAATAAAATGCTAATGTGCTTTCATTAGTACTTTACCTTGCACAATTTTACAAATAAGCCAATCGATTTGGAACAGGTCACCCTGAGATTAGAAAGGAAATGAAATCATAAGTGGACAGTCTTGTTGACCATTCTTACAAGTGTTTTGTGTGTTTCTCTTTTGGTTTCAGAGCAATAACATTGGACAATCAGCTTGTGGTTTTGGGGACGGCGGCAGCAGACGCGGGTCGGTATTATGTACAGGCCGTTAACGAACGTAATGGGGAAAACAAAACCAGCCCTTCCATTTACCTGAGTATAGCAGGTAAGTTTTTGCAACATTTACTATATACACACACACATA